CCTGCTGCAGACACTAACCACACACACACACATCACTCCCTGATATCTCTGTTCTAAAACATCATTTCACTGATATCTCTGCTTTAAAACATGGGCTTTGTGGGGGCATGCAGATGTGAGGCTCTGGGTGTGAGGCTTCACCGCTCTCGGGGAACCTCCACTCATCTTTCAGCTCCATCCCTCTGTGCACTAGCTTAATGTGAGCGAGCCACTTTGCCCCAGCAGCCACTGGTCAAATGCATTGAACCCAAGACAACTTGACATTTCCCCTTTCTCTCAGCAGTTTATCAACAATGTGAATGAGTTCATGTTGGGGGAGTTGTGTTGGGGGGGTTATCTATGAAAGACAGCAAGAGGGAAGTGATAAAAGATGATTTACAAAGCATTTTGTTTTACTTTGTTTCTAATTAGAGTTCTCCTTGTTTGAGTGCAATTGAACTCAATTGCATGTGTGAGCTCAGCTATCTATTGGAGACCATCACGTGGGATCCTGTAAAGACAGAGTCTTAGAAACCCACAGGGGCAGTCCTACTCCGTCTCTATGAATCCGAATGCACTCCTTGGCAGTGCGTGAGTGAGTGAGTGAGTGAGTGAGTGAGTGAGTGAGTGAGTGAGTGAGTGAGTGAGTGAGTGAGTGAGTGAGTAGTGCTAACTCTGGGCCTACACAGGAGACAGGAACAGGGGATGAGGTGAGAGATAACGGAAGGGATAACATTCCCAGTCAACTTTTGACTAAATTTCACCTTGTTGCTTTCTAATAACAGTTTAGAACATCACAGTTTAAAACTCACCTGCTTATTTTAATCCACACAATGATGTAAGAGATCAACTGCGACACAGGTTTTAAATGCTCCCGCTGTTGCCTCTCGGCAGAACTCAGGATAGCTTCCAGCGAAGGAAAACCACCATCTGCCATGTGGAATTCCCCTCTGTGCAGCACCGGTGCTTGAAGATCCAGACTTGGGCCTGGTGGTCCTACAAGGACACTTGGGATAGAACCTGCCTTAATTAAGATACCAGCAACTGAAATATAAGAAGCTGGATGCTCATGATATAATTTATAGTGAGAAACGCAGCTGTTGGGCCAACCAGGAAGCCTGAGTCAGCAGATCAGAACATTCTCTCCCGGGATACTAATTGTTTCTGCAGCCAGATTGTAATCAGAAGGCCAATTCACACACTTTAAGTAAAAAAAATACCAATCTTAAATGGACCAGGTGTGCATATGAGCCCAGCCTCTTTTGATAGATACATTGCTTAAAAAAACAAATTATTGGAAGGGTGCTTGATAAGCAGGGAACCAGGGTAGGGGGCATGTGCTGATCATAAGGTGCGCTTCAACAGCGACAGCTGTCGACCCTTTCCCCATGGAAGAGAGAAGCTTGCCAAGAGGCATGGATGGAAATTGTCAGCGCCTTGTCTCCACGATGCTGAAAATTCTCCATTTGCCATGCTTCGGTTTCCCATGGTCCTTGCCCAAACTGGGTGACAATACTGATCATTAATTTTCAGCTTACTTCCTGGGATGGCTCCCAGACAATCTCCATTGAAGTTCTTGTAGTTATGAAACTTGTTAGTTATACATTTATAAACAGTATCTGAGTCTCCTAGTGCAGATGGCTAACCCAAGTCACCGAGTGTGGATCTTACCAATTTAGCTCTTGAAGATCTTGGTTTTGATTTCTGAAGCAGTCTGGTGTTATCTGTATTTAAAAGTTCTAGTGTGTGTGCATGTTCCTCAGCTTTAGAAATGGAGACTTGGAAGGGATGAGCACCTTTCCTTGGGTCACTCAGCGGGTGACTGGTACAGCAGGAACTCAAACTCAGACCTTGTGAGTTCAGATGTCACACGTGCGCCATTGGATGTGATCCTATTGGCTCCCCCTCGGTTCATTTTGAGGCAAGAGAGGAAAATCTCTTTGAAGAATTGTATTGAGAGAATGTGAACTGCTTTGATTTCTAAAGGACAACATGCCTCAAAGAAAGTGTGTGGTAGAGGATAAAGGAAAAGGTGA